ATATCCCTTGCTTATGTGGTTGCTGTCTGGGAACATAGAGTGACCAAGACGTAGGTGAAGAGTGATTTGAGCTCAATGGTACAGAGGCAACATCAGGCTAAGGAAAGTTGGCAGAGGACATGTAAGGAGAGACAGAGCAATTGTTCTCTGCTTGTGGCTGGAGGAATGGGCCCTCACCCAACCTCCTGCAGATGCAGCTGAGATGCAGCTTGGACTCTGTAGCTGACACAGCACAATTGCATGACAGATGACCCCTCTAGGCAGCAGGAGCAGTAACACTCTCCTCCCACTTTCCTCCTCTCCCTGACATTTCTCCTCTTAGAAACAAGTCTTGACCCCAGCCCTGCCGTCTTCCTTTGCTGCCCGAACAAAGAGATTGCCGAAGGGCAAGGAGGAAGAAGGAGGTCATGGGGAGGGTAGGGATAGTCAGCGCCTTGGGGAAAGTAGTTAATGAACCAAATCCAAGGGAAATGAGACAGAATGAAAGAGGGAAGAGGAAAGAGGAACTACTCCTACACACCGCTCTGTGAAGTTCAGTGATTCCTCCTCTACCTTCTTTGTTGACCTTTAATTGCCTTCCTTACAAAACCACATCTGGCATCTCACTATTCTCTCACTCCATCTTGGTCTCTTGTCAGAGCCACAACATTGGAATTTTACCTGTGTGACTAAGAAGTCAGCCTTTCACTGTAAGGATTTCCTCACATCCAGGAGCCTGTTCCTGTTCTCTGAAAGTGCCACTAATAGAATGTCATTGTTTGCCTGCAAGGATTTTAGACTGAGGCATGCTATTTCTAGCATTTAAAAAAAGTAGGAAAATGGTGAATAAATTGAAGAAATAAAAGCACAAAATTAGTTTGGAATAATTTTTTTTTCAGGGAGTAGAATGCATAGAATGCAAGTAAGAGCATTTGTTCCTGTCACAAGACAGTTGGACTACATGATTTTAAACTCCATATCTTGTGATGTTTAATACTCTAACAGTGAGGAAAGAGAAGCCAGGTGCAAATGATATCCCACTGATAATCCATGTAGAATAAAATGGAGACAAAGTATAAATTATGCTACTGGAACTAAAAATGTGTAGCATGAAACTGTCTATTATCTCACTTTTGCTCCTAGGCATTGTTAACCATGCTAGGAATTTGCTGTTCACAGGGTGACTAAACACTCCTTGGGATTTTCAGAGATACTCTCTGCTGGCTCCAAGAGGGTAAAAGTGAGGGAAAACGGTGAGGGCTTTTTGGACTGAGCAGGGGAGAATCAAAATGAAGGAACTGGTGGGACTCATTCGCACACATGGCCAATTCTGATTTGGTGATAGAAAGCTAAACTGGCTAGATAGTTGATGCTTCTTATACATTAGTGATATTTGCGTTTATGTTTAAAATTAAATTAGTCAGAACATAGTGGATTATCCAAACTTAAAGATATGCAAAATTTGCCTGTGAAGGGCCCTGAGCAACTGGTGTGTCTTTGAAGTTAAGATTAGATGACTGTCAGTTGCCTATTCCACCCCAAGTTGCTCTCTAACTCTGTGAACTTCAGGAGACCAGTTTTTGCAAATAACTGACTTTTTTCAGATGAGCAATATTATTTTAATTATTATGTACTAGAAGAATTAGTACTGGAATAAACAGAAAGACCCCAGAACCAATTTCTGTCATCTCTATGGAATTATCTTTCCTTTGTAAGACCACAGGAAAGCAAACAAATGCCTATATCTACACAACTCACTAATCCTTTGAATTAATTTTACCTCTTTGCATGTGTGAAATTGCAAATATATATGGGGTGTAGTGGTAGAGCAGTAAAAGCCTCTAAAGATGGAGCCTAAAGCTGTATGAGCATTCTTCCATACTTGAGCTGAAAGAAATACTGGGGGTAAATGAGAGGGCAATCTACCTGTACTTCATGACACAGCAGAAGGCTGAAGTCTCTATGACATGGTCCTACTATTTTGCTTCTTTGATGATGGAGAGAAGAAACTGTAGCCTCATCTGCTGGCACAAAGGAGAGGATTTGTATCATGGTGGGCAATGGGGGCCTGGTATCTGGCATACAACTTGGGTTTAGATCCAGGCTTGTTCTTTTATAGTTCCACTCTTTACATACTTCTTAATATAGAAGCTACAGTACCTCAAGTGTGAAAGGCTGTTGAAAACTTTAGTGGTCAGTCAACTATTTCTCTAAGATCTGAGAACTCCAGCATCCATTCCTTAATGGGGGTGTGATTTGCCAAGTCCCAAATTGGTTTCAAAGTTTTCAGTCTTGAAAATATAGGACTGAGAATGCGTGTTTCTGATTTTGTTTTTGGTTTTGAGTTGGGTTTTTTGGGGAGAGGATGTTTATTTATTTTATTTTTGTGTATTAGGAATGGACAGACTGCAGCAGGTGCTTAAGGAAGTGACTGTCAAGGACAAGAATATGACTGCTTGTTACTGTGCTGGCAGGAGAAGTCAACAGAAATCAGGAGGCGGCACTGAAATTGTCTACATACAGGAGCAAATGTACTTCTTTGTGTCTTTTGTTTGTGAAGAAGTATGTTTTATTTGATAAGAACTACAACAGCCTGAAAAATAATGCAGTTTTAAAACAAATCTGCTGAAAGTTAAGTGTTCTAAGGAATTTAGGTGCCCTATTTCTATGCCCAGATCAACAGAAACTCCAAGTCAATAGTAAACACATTGTTAGCTCTCTTGCAATAAATTTCTCCATTTGTTATCTCTTGACAAGCAATCCACTAAGATAAAGGAAATTGAAGGAAAATATTTGAACTATTTACACACTAGTGAAGGTGGTGTCACATTATCTTCTTTTTTTTGCAAGACCATGTTTACTCCCAGCAAGTCATGTCCCCTAGGTCCTGCCAAAGTATGTGTTATCTTGGAGAATGAAGGGGGGAAGCCAAAACAATTAGAACAAGTGAAATACTGTGTGGTGGAAGTGAAAAAACATTCCACCACAGACCACCCAGCACTGATGCTATGCTGTACATAGGGGATCAGGAAAGAGCACAACCTTCTTGCAGTAACTGCATCCTCTAAAAGCATTCTCTTTCACTCTTCTGGTACTTCTTCTCTGTGACGGTTCCTCACAGTTCTGTTTCCTTTTTTGCTTCAGTGACAAAGAGAAGAATAATTAATTCTGGAGAAAAACTGTAACTTACCATAAACGTCATGTCTCATAGCATGATTATCCTCTTTAGTTACTAAATAAAAGCTCATAAAGTTTTATAAACCAGCCACAAAGATAACTAAAAAACTCCTTCCCATTTCCTATTCCCCTGGGCTCTCTGAGGCAGTGCTGTGGTCTCACTGGCATGTAGATTCTGCATATCCAGCTGCTTCCCAGCTTATCAATATTGTATTAAGTGCTTATCAATATTGTATCAATATTGTAGCCCATAGTTAGGACCGTTCCTCGTTCCTCACTTCTCTGAAATCAGTGAACAAATTCTGATAAAAGAATCCTAGAAACATAGAATATGTTGGATGGGACCCACAAGGATGGTGGAGTCCAACTCCCTGTTCCTCGCAGGACTGCCTGTAAATAAACCATATGACTAAGAGCATTGTCCAGACACTTCTTGAGCTCTTAGAGGCATGGCACTGTGACCACTTCCCTGGGAAAGACTGTTACAGTGCCCAACCATCCTCTGGGTGAAGAAACTTTTCCTAATGTCAAATCTAAACTTCCCCTGGTGCGGCTTTATTCCATATCTTCATGCCCTCAGTGGTTACCATAGAGAGATCAACATCCCCTCCTGCCCCCATTGAGGAAGTCGTAGTCTGTGATGAGGTCACCTCTCAGCCTTCTCTTCTCCAAGCTGAACAAGCCACAGCTGAACAAGCTGACCTCAGCCACTCCTTGTAACTGTTGCCCTCAAGAGATTTCACCACCTTGGTCACCCTCCCCTGTACACCCTCTGGTAGTGTGATGTTCTTACATTGAGGCACCCAAAACTGCACACAGTGCTTGAGGGGAGGCCACACCAGTTCAGTGTAGAATAGGACAATCACCTCCCTCGACTGGCCTGTCATGCTTTGCCTGATGCACCCCAGAACCTGACTGGCCCTTTTGGCTTCCAGAGCACTGCTGACTCATATTCTACTTGCCACTAAACCAAACCCCCAAATCTCTTCCAACAGGGCTGTTCTCCAGCCTCTTGTCCCCCAACTTTTATGTATAACAACGATTATCCTATCCCAGGTGCACTTGAAGTACTCCAAAAGAAATGCATTTGCTTAAACATGTGTTTATTATGATAAAAGGAGCAAAAGAGTACATCTGCAAGACCCATTATATACAGATACATGAAGAAAATTTGAACAGCAACCTGCCATATTTAGTCATGATGATTAAGCCAAAAAGATTTAAGGAGAAATATGGATTATAAGGTTCCTATAATGGATCTTCATAAAGTGAGGAAGAGCCTTGCAGGATCAGGAGCAGAAAATAAAATCAATTACTTTGTCAGAGTCGGTATGGTATCAACCATACCTACTGGTATGATAGTTTAAGGTTTACAGTGACTAATTCCAGAGAAGTCACCACAACATTTGTCCATAGAGAAACTTGGCTTAATTAGAAGTCTGCTTTTTTTTTTTTTCCTTAAGACCTCAGCTGATAAACTGGGTTGTGTTTTTTCAGTGTGATGATTTGGCACTATTATTATTAACTTGCATCAGGACCACCTCTATTCGTGTTCATGCTTTCTTGGGGTCCAATTTTCATTCCATTAACTCTTCATGCATAAGTAAATAATCCTTCCTCTATGGGATTGAAAGGCAAAGGGCCTCTGTTTTCATGGTATAACATGGCATAATTTCTCTGCCTTCTTTTCTTTTCTTTTCTTTTTTTTTTTTTTTTTTTAATAAAGCCTTCTGGTTTTAGAAACTATGGATGAAAGAGAGAGTATATGTTTCTTTTTTACCCTTGATAATGCAGCAGTTTGGGTCTTGCTATGAGAGACAGAAACTTTTTCAGCTTCCCTATCTTTAAGGAGAAAAGCATCTGCCAAAGAAGACGATGCTGTTGCTTGGGTTGTGCTTGATCAAGAAGAGGAAAGGGTGGTCAGCCCTAAACTCTTCAGAGACACTTGTATCATCCACCCCAGCTCCTTTTGAGCCTTCCACCTTACTGCCTGCTTCTTGGATTTCCACAAACGCCTCATGGAAGGCTGAAGACACCTTCAGTCTCTCTGCTGAAGAGATACCAGAGAGATTGGCTGATGAGCTGAACAGGTCGGTGATACCCAAGGATCTTAAGACAGATGTGAGGTTATACTTTTCCTCAATCTTCATGTGGGGGAGATAAACTTTAATTTTCCTTTCTTCCATCCTAGTAGAACTGGTCCACTCCTTGAGATTTTCAAAGGTGATTGCAGCCTCAAGCTGCAAGGAGACAAGCAAATTAGATCTCTGAGATGACAGGACAACTTCTTTTGTGGCAATACAGAACCGTTTGTGGTTTTTTTTCTCTTTAACTGACTTCTCTTGTCATGATACGTTTTCTAGGTGTATGCAGATTAATATGTCTAGAAGACAAAAGCTAATCTTACTTTGCTGTCCTGCTTTCTATTTTTTTTCATAGGCTCACTACCAATTACTTTTCTTAATGAAATCGTTATTCAGCAAATTTCACCAAAGGTCTTGTCTATTTATCTTCTTTTCTTTAGAAATATATTCCAGAAATCATGCAGTACTTATGAGTTATCAGCTCTATCTACATTTAAGACTGTGAAGTAACCAGGTTTTAATGGTACCTAATTACTAATATCTGAACTGTCAGTTATTACTGAAGAAATTTAGTTGTGTTCAAATGCCTTTTTTTTTGTCATTTAAATTCTTTGAGTTAGTGTAAAGTCATTTTGATGAACTCTGATTTATTACATCTCTTTTCCTATTTAAACTGCAGTACTCCTAATGGCAACATTCCGTGACTGTATTCTGTTCATATCAACAATAGTATGTCATATACACTTTGCTTTCTGAAATAGCTTTAACCATTCCTGTACTCCCCATATTCAGTTTTCAGATTTAATTTTTGAAGGTATGAAGGAAGCATGTTGAATGCTGTCAAACCAAGCAATAATTATAAATAGTTAAGCTAAGAACTTCCCAGGAAGCTCATCAGTGTGCAGGAGTGGAGATATAAAACCTTTGGAGTTCAAGCTGCTGGTGTAACAGCTTCTTGTCTGAGAAGAATCTGTTCTGCAGTGACAAATATTTAACCCACTATAGCAGTTCCTTAAGCAATCCATGCTCATCACAAACTATTGGAGGACCACTGAGCTGCATGCTTCTATGCAACAATCCCATATTGCCAGTATTCAGATCTGTGCTTTAAGACAACTTCCTTGTGAAGAGCTTTTCAGCACCTAAATTTCAGCATGTTTATGGTTTTCTGAAACCCTACTACCAGGGCCATACCTGCTCCAGGCCAGAGACGTCATCAGGCAACAGCACCCACAGGCTCAGCTGCCCACTGGCATATGGAAGCTCCAGGATCCTAATTTTCTCAGAAGGAATCTCTGCTACTTTAAATGAACCGATCTGGAACATCATCTGCACAGGTTTGCTTTCTTGCTGCAAAACCAAATAATAGAGTTTTCACAAAGATCATTCCTAAAGTGTAGAAATGTCTACTTATGGTTTAAAATGCTAATTGTTCTTGTTCAGGAAAAATGTATAACAGCTTGTCTACTCCCTTCATAAATTCTAAAAGATGACACCTTTAAGGTGATCCATACCCACATACCTCAGTAATTCTGAATGGCACTGTCTGGGTACCTTCATCCTTAAATGCCTTCTCCCACAATCCTTTGAAGTAAATGGCATTGACAAGGACCATATCAGTCTCTGGGTTCACAGAGCTTGGTTGAAGGATATTTTTGATCATTCCTGTAAGGATACATAGGTAAAGATAACATGTGTAACGTATCTGTTTATAACACATCTTACTGGGCAGTCACAACATTAAATGAAGGGTAAAGATTTTGTGGGGAGGAGAGTGTAGGGCAGGGACATGGTTTTGGTTTTGTAGCTGTTATCTTGTACTTCCACAGTTGATTTGCTCACTGCTGTTGGCAATGGCTGTTTTTTTCCTCACTATAAAGAGTTATAGTGAGGGATATAAGACCCAACGATCTACTTGTTGCAAAATGAGTATATTTTGTGACAATGGGAAGAACTATTGGAACCTTTTATCCCAGGATGGTCTCCAAATGTACAAAGCATATTTCAGTGCTGTCCTTTCTATCAGGACTGAAGTATTACATATCTGCAAAGCCCCTACAGATAAAGAGAGTCTTCTAAAATTTGTGTCTGTGAGGAAAAAATATTCATTAAATGATAGTTCTATATCTGGGAGCTGATCTATTATCCAGGAGAAGGAGCAGAAGGAGAGGTTTTAGGGTTTTTTTCTCCTTCTCGTATGCTGTTCAAACATAGTGGCAACTACCCATCCTGTTAGTTGGCTTCCTCTTACCATTTGTCTGACTTTCAACCCAGGAATTTATGAGCTCTCTGGCTTGTTCTGCAGCTGTTTGAAAGCTGATAGGTTCCAAGCCTCCCTTATACAGTTCCTTAATACACTGTAAGTATTCCTGCAAAGGAAGAATATGCCATTTTCAGAGCAGAATGTCAAAGCATTTTGCAAATGTAAAGTACAAGAATAAAGTACAGATATATGCTTGTTAAGGCTAATCAGTAAGCCATTATTCTACTTCATAAGCATCTTAAGATTTTACATTCATTGTTTCAAGCAACAGTATCTGCCCACATTTTTAAAAAATATTTTCCAGAACTGAATTTTATTAAAAAATGGCATCCATTACAGTTTTCAATGGTATTTCCCTCTAATTTCAAAGTAAATGTTCCTTTCGATGGAAAACCTTGGAATATTTTTGAGAACCTGAAGTTATTTTTCAGTTTTGTTTTCAAGTTGAGAAAACAGTTGGAGTTAACTTTTACCAACAGAAATTAACTTTATTAATTATACCTTGACTTGATTGGATCATTATTGTACTTTTCACAAAAAGATGCACAAACATCTTTTTGATTAGTCACATTTTTTCTCAAGACTGTCAAGGGCTGTGATAGAGAGAAGCTGAGAATCCTTTCTTCTATATGGAAGAAAATTTCATTTGCAGAACCTAGACTTCTGACGGCGCTTTTTTGCATTACAGAAAGGTACAGCTTTGACATGGAAATACATTCAGATCAGATCTTAGAGCAACTCACCGGCAGGATTGGGTACTTCTCTTCAGCATAAAGTCTATTGGCAATGCCGACCGTGTAATTGTCACTTGGTTTGGTGATTTGGGTGAGTATGTCTTTAAGTGAAGTGTGGATGCTCAGAGATGTGCCACACTGCATCGTTGACAGGAACACAAATAAAAAGACAGATGATGTTATCCTAGTTTTAATAATTAGTAGGTTTTACATACTATGTGAAAGGAGTAGAGTAGTTCAGACACTTCTGCTTATAAAACTGTTTATCCCCTGTGCCTGGTTGCTATAACTATGATGATATAGTATTTTTGTAATATGTACAATTCCGTGCTGGTTTTCTACTGTAATTTCCTCATAGCCTTCTCAGGGGGACTCTTAATTACCTGCTACAGTAGTGTAGCTCCAGCAGATCAGGTAAGCTTTCCTCCATGCCCAACCAGTCCCATTAATCCAGTAACATCTGGCTACCTTGCCTAATCATACAAATATCTGTAATTCTACCCTATTTTCGTGATATTATGCTAATGGGTTTAATTTGATGCTTGTTCTGAATCCTCAGTTGCCTGCCTTCTCCGTCTATTCTTATGAATGTAGTGTTCCCCCAAATGCTGGATGCAGAGCACTAGCTGCTCACTGGAGAAGGGTTGGAACTGCTAAGAGACTGCTTTATCTGATAGTTTTTGCTCCCAGGAGAAAGTGACATAGAGAAGGAGATGGATTTTTTCTGTACCTGAGATTCAATACTCTCTCCAAACCCTGGGATTTTATCGAAGTGAACAGCCTGTAATTGAGAATAACAGTAGTTGAAATAACAGGTATGACAAGAAAAAGGTTATGCAACTGAGATTAACACATAAGATTTGAAGCAAATGCTTTGGCTAGCTGAGAAGCTGGATGACTCAAAAAGTGCAATCCATCTGTACCATCTGTGAATACCCGTGCCTGCTGTTGCCCACTGGATGATTTTTTTGCTACTGAACATCTAGGAATCAGCTCCAGTGTGTGATATTATTAATACCAATTATTCTAGGTAACAAGCCAACCACTTTCTATGGAAGTAGTGAGAGCTGTAGGAAACACATGAAACACTTCTCAGTCTGGAGGTATTTTGGCTCTTTCCCTATACATTTTGTCTCCTTTCCTTACTCCAAACAAAGGACCACTGTAATGTGTTGTTCTCTTTGAGAATCCTATTGCTAACAATGTTAAAATTTAAATAGGGGAGTTTGAGGTGGCCACAGCTTTTGATATCTCTGGATGTACATTTTTTTAACCTCTGATCTATGCAAGGGACACTATATCATTAAGTGCTGTGAGTCTGTTGAGCAGCAGGAGGGTTTAAATCCTTAACTGTAGCCTCACCTTTTCTATCTGAGCCTTGGTGTTATCTCTTGCACCTAGGTAGACCATGGACAGAGCTGAAATGATGGTCACAGGGGAGTAGATGATGTTCTCCCGGGCATGCTGGATTCTCAGCTCTTTGAATACATCACAGCAAAACTCCGTGCTTACTGGACCGATGGAGCCCATCTTGAAACCGGTATTGTCTAGAACAGAAGAACAATAACAATGTGATGGCATAGCACACAAACACAGCATGTTTAATAGCAGTTTTCTAGCAATGAAATATAAACAAGTGGTTTTGCAATCATTCTGTGGTAACATGCCTACTGCTATGCTCACCTCTCATGTATGTTAGAAACTATGAATTCATAAATCTGTTTCTTTCTGCATTTGTATCCAGTTGCCCTTTTGTAACAGTTCCTCAGAGGTCTTAAGTCTGTTTACCTTTTCAAAGCAGTCAAACAACAGTTGCCTGTACTTATTTAATTCACTGAAGGGTAGAATTCCTTAATACTTTGTAGTAGCTTTGATGAAAACAAGAAAATACTGTCTCTGATATACTTGCAAAGCTGGAAATTTAAGTGCAAATTATGTTAGACTTGCTCTATTTTTGGACAGATATAAGTAAAATCAGAGGCTGGCTGGCTGTTTTTGTTTTCTAAAAATAAGTGCAGTAAAATATCTATTTGTTGCACAGTACTTACTGTCAGTAGATCTTCACAGGCCTGTGCCTTTACCTTTGTTTTAGTAATGGAAGTATGAATAGGCAATATAATTTGTCTAAGGTACAAAGTCTAGGAGCAAGACTGGTGCTCAAAATTTGTGTTTCATCCTATTGTGCTTTCAGATACAACTTGCTTTGCTTAAATATACTATACTATACTATAAACTTTCTGAGAAATTAAATTGTGTTAGTGACATTGAGGTAGAGGAGAGAGGCAGATATGATAAAATAGCTATATGTACCATAATTTAGCACAATTAAACAAATATTTGTTTGTGACATAGACCAGTAAAACCTTATGTTTATTTCTGTCTGAGGCTGCTATAAAGTGATGGATGGTATAAGTCCTGTCTAGCCACTGTGCTTATACAAAGCACAGCTTCTAAGGTCAGCATGGATTTAGCTTCCATCTTGTGATTTACAGGAATTTTGAAAGTCTGCTGTTTTTCAAAATCCAGCCTCTTATGTAGGAGTTAAATGCTGAGATCTCAAGTTTATCTTTGCAGTCTTAATCTCTACCAAGGGTTTTTTGTGACTGTGCTCCTGGATATACGCATACACTCACACACATATTTCTCTCACTTTCCTTTCTGTATACATGTTCCCATTTATAGGTTAAGAACTGTACATCTGTACACTTTTTATCTTTTGCAGTGTTCATCAGCTGTATTTTTCAGGGATGCAACTGTTAGAGAAATTTCACACTAAAATAAACGTATCAAATTCACTGAATGGCACAGTTTTGCTCTCAGTGCACTCTATTGAAACCAGAGGTCAACCAAGCAAACTTATTATTTGACTGCCAAAATCAAACTTAAAAAGATACTGAATGGAAGGATAAGATGCTCTGAAATAAAATCGTATTTTAAGCACAAAATAATATTTGAAGCAGAAAGAATAACTTCTAAAAATCTCCCCAAAAATCCCAAATACTCAGATTTTACACATAATAAAATAGTGTGGAATGCATGCACACAAGTGAGACTTGTAGGGACTATGATGTAAATATTCTATCCTAAAATTGCTTTCTAGAGCAAAGATGTCAAACACAAAACAATATTTACTTTCTTTTTAAGTTTCGTCATAAACCTGAATTAATATAGTAAGAAAGTAAATTTTCCTGGAGAAATGCTTACCTTTTGAGTTTCAGCACCAAAGGTAATACAGCTTTCCAGCTGTATGTAGACATACTGGCTGAGCCCTCTGGAATTTATACAGTCTGAACTGTGAGCCACCCACTGCTGCCTTTCAGAAGTTTGACCTTTGACATCATAAAAATAATTTAATGGTATTAGGTCAGTTTTTTGTTTCAATGGGTTTGTTTCTGATTGAAGGGTGAGCAAATATTAGTTTTTATTCTGTATAACAGTGCTTTCCATCAGTACATCAGGACCATTAGGCTGAAGAAAAAAATGGGAAATAATGCTCATGTTCCTTAAAGTCTCATTTGCAGCTAGGTACTGGGATGGCAGTAAAACCAAAAAAACGTGAACAACTTAGTGGTGGAGCACACAATTAGCAGTTATTAGTCAACCTGTCAATAATCAGTCAAGTTGTTATTCTGGTTGTAGTAACAGACCAGAACTCTCTGTTAATTAATCCTTTCTGAATGGACAAAATGCAGCCGAGCCATGCCAAATAGAAGCAAAGGAGAACAGGTCTTGGCCTATCACTCTACTAACAAAACTGGTGAAATAAAGAAGGGTGTATGTGAGAAAACCAATTACGATGAAAGTTAAAAACAGGCTCATTTTCTTTGAAAAGCTGGGATGTTTTAAAAAAATCTTTTAGTGAGTGTGGTTTTACAGTAAACTAGTTTATTGACAGGGGTTTAATAGCAAGACATAGCTTTAGACAAAGTAAAAATACTCAATTCCAAATGTGTCTGTACTAACTTAATGACCTCACAGAGGAACTGTGAAATCCAGCTAGAGGAGTGTTCATGCTCTGTGGGACAATCATAATATACAATAGCAAATATATTTCAGTTATAAAAACATTTAAGTTACAAAAGCTATTGTTCTGTATTGAAATAATAGAATGGACAAACAGTAAAGAAACCATTCTGACCTCTGTAAAGTACTATGTGATTTAAAAAAGGGAGGAGGGGAAATCCCAAAGTCTGTATGACATAAGTCTTTTCAACTTATGGGACATGGCTATGATCTCTGTAAAGAAGAGGTAGCTTCCTGTACTGCTGTCAGAAGTTTAGGCAGTGCAGTGTTCTTTATCTCAGTATGCTTCATTTTGTAAAAATAAACATAGTATAGAAATCTACATTCTCCTTGGCAGCAGAGTTGTTATCACCAAGGCTGTCTGAGGACTTAAGCAAGACAAGATTGTAGTGGAAGTGTTATTTTTCATTAGTTCTCTACTCCATAGGTATCAACTAAGTGTTTTGGTTTAGTTTGGATTTCTTGTGTTTTCTCACAGATAGTCTGACAAATAGATATCTATACTTAAGCACAGAATAATTCTTTTTTTTTTTTTTTTTTTTTAAGTCAGGCCTACTACTTCTGTTTGAGCCTTTAAGAAGGCTCAAAAAGCTTGTCTGCTTTTTCTGATGATAGAAGTGCTTCTCAAAAAAACATTGTCCCTACCTATGAGATATATATTGGTATGTGACTGGAGAAAAGGAATGAAGAATGAGTCTTCCAGGTGCATTGTCAATCAAAAATCTTCACCATCTGTTCTGTCAAACACCAGAAACAGGTTATGTATGTTTATTCTACTCCGTGCTTAACATCTGTTTGTTAATATACAGATCAATGTAGATCAGATGGTCCCGACACACTGTAATATCCCAGTGACGTAAAAGGAAAAGAAGGATAGTTTTGCCTCTCACCAAGGAAAGGAACTGTTTACCAGACAGTCAGATGCTGGAGAAGACATCTAACCTTAAAGGGATGCTTCCAGATACTTTTCAATGTCTGGATGATGCCCTTAGTCATATGGTTTATATACAGGTAGTCCTGCAAGGGGGGACTTGATGATCCCTTTCAACTTGAGATATTCTATGATTCTTTGAATCTATGAGTTTACACCTAATAAGCTGTTTTCTCACATTGTTTAGAGTGAGCCTTGGATTTCTGCCATTCTTTTCAGTCTTTATCCCTTTTTTATTTGGGACCACTTTGTGTTCACAGGGGTTTAGTTCTATTTCTACCACACTGGTCTTGCATTGCTGCATGTAAGAGTTGGCTAGTATATTTAACTCAGTGAAATCTACCTTTCAAATGTCCTTCAAGCCTCTCTGCTAGACAGCCATGATCCCCCTTGCCTTAATCTGACCTCTCATACATGAATTGCAGAAGTGTCCAGACCTGTGTCACAAGCCCAGCTCAACATATATGGCCTGTATTTTAGTACTTACAAACATGTCCGGCAAGCAGCTGCAGTTTTGTTGGTGATAATTTTTTTCACACTATCACACTACAAGTATAGACTTAAAATTATTCCAGTGGTGAGGTTTTTTATATGTGGTGAACTTGACTTCTGTGTAGTGTCTTGGTTCCACATATGCAGAACAAGCTTTGCTTGATTTTGGTGCAGAGTTTTGTTTCATGTGTTATACAAAGTTAATACTTTTGCTCCAAGAATTGGAGTTTCAGGTTCAGAACACATCCACAATAAGCAAATACAGGGAGGATAGTAAGTTCTGCTTTTATAACATTAGATAAAGGGGTGCTGTGCTCTTTCTAAGAGGTCTCTTGTGGTTTTCTGCGCTCAAACTGCTAATTAGTGCCAAGCCAGTTTTAAGCAACTGAGTATACCCATGAGCAAACTGAGAACTAGATCAGAGCAGACCATCAGCACAGCATCAACACACAGAGGTCTTGTACAGTCTTCTTGACATGGGGTCTATAGAGACTAAGCAAACCTTCCTGCAGTTGAAGATTACCGGGGACACTGTCAATGGATTGCCCTGTCCAACACAGCTGTGCAAAGCAGTACAAACAGTTCAGTCCCACATCCTTGTTTGACAATGTTTGTCTCAAGAAAGAGGTCAGCTAAGGCTCTGCTGCCCTTTCCTCTGCCAGGCATTTAATTGTGGAGCTGTCCCTAAACCAACAGATTCTTGAATACCTGAGCCATGAACAACTGAGAGTGTAAAAGGTACTTCATACCCAAAAGAATATGAAGTCCAGGTCACCTCACAGACCAAAGCCTCTCATCCAATCACAAAAACCTATGCAGAACTCAAGATTTTGTTCTCCTCCGTGTTTCTGCTGTTTTGCCAGTAGGAAGGAGCATGTTGATTATTTTGTGTTTGTCTTCATTTCACATTGTGACTCTGGAAGCTGTCTTTCAATCAGGGGCAGAGGCACCCATTCACAGGGGGATAAATCACTTATCAGTTGTAGCTGCCTGTCTAACTGGTTATCACTGCAGACCTAGGTGCTCTAGCTATCAATGATGACTCCTCTCTCAATTGTTCTGTGGGACTATTTTTTCCCCAGTACAAAGCATATGAGGTGTGTGGTCAAGCTCCTTCAGAGAGGTGATCATAGCCCACATGGCACCTTTCTACAGCAGCTCTTTGACATTCTGGAGATGTACATTGTTGCCTGCAGTGCTGCCTTGATCCCTCACAGGCTGTCATGGGGCATTTGTCTTAATTGTCATTGTGATATCCCATATGACATCTTACATTGCTCAGACTTCACTGTATAGCTGATGATTTCTTAATACTCCCTCATGGATATTTGATCTGACATAGATTCGTTTGACCTTCATGGTGTAACTTTCAGTGGTCACATCCCACAGGCCAGCAATGGTTTGGATGGCAGTATTTGTCTCAGATCCTGAAAGTCATCCTTGCTATGGCTGAATGAGTTTTAGCCTCATATACGTGCAAAGCCTTTCACTTGCCACATACCTTGCTGTGGAAGCAATATACAGTGTCTCTGATGATGAAGGTGACTTCATTCTGTCTGAGCTCAAATGCTAAAAGAAAATGTACAAGAGTTGAAAGCAAGGAGAATCCATCAGGCAAGAGTATAGGAGCTTTTCGCATGCATGAAAGGGTGAAATTTGAGAAGCAAAAATTGTTCTGGAGGGAAAACTGACAAGGGATGTGAAGGGTTGTAAAAAAATCTTCTTTAGCTATAACAGCAAAAAGACTAAGGAAAAGTCAGAATGATTGGAGAAGGTTCCTGATGATTTGAAAAAGTGACTAATTTTCAGAAAAAGAGAACTGAGGAGACTACAGGTCTCTGCAGTCCCTGAAAAGGTGTAGTATACCACTGCAAGGCACTAAGAGTTAGTATTCATTATTATCAGCATCAAGAAAGATACTCAGACTCTGTAAGATATTGCTTAAAATACCGTTTATTGCAACTAACATTAGAAGGAAAAATGATAATATAGGTTACATTCCCTTAACCCTAAGTTGTGCAATATTTGACAGATTGCCAGTCAAGGAATGGCATGCAGTGCAGGAGCCATCCATGGAGATAGGTGTTCGCTGACACTTTGGTCTTTAGAGCTCTTGCAGAAATTTTTAAAGAAGAAAACAATTAATTTCTACTGTGAAACAAAAGGATGTTCATGAAAACTTGCCACTTCACTTTACAATATATATGAGGACACAGGGATTGCAGTCACTCATGCCAAGTGGGAGAAACCTGCAGGTTCCTTCCTTCTGGTTTGCATGCAAAGTTCATCCAGCCCAGGGCCACATGCAGCACAGCACAGGATGGAGAGCCAACCTACATGCTCGGCAAGCACAGGCCTGTGCTTTCTTCTATCAGCTGTTACATGGGTCACTAGCACCTTGATGGGCAATTATATTCAAGTTCAAATCCCTACAGAAGGCTTCAAAGCAAAGCCTCCTGGGAGCATTTTGAGACATGTAAAGGAATAAAAGATGATGGGAAAAAAGGGCACAGATTTTCGAAGGGCAAATCACTCCTGACCAGCCTCATTGGCTTCTTAGGATGGGATGGCCTGTTCTATCTACAGAAGAAAAGCAGTCCTATACCCTGACTTCAGTAAGGCCTTCCAAATGATCTCCCAAGATACCCCTGTCATCAGATTGGAGAATTATAGGCTAAGCAAGCAGGCAATATTTTTGGTGTAAAGTCAGCTGGATTGTCAGGAGCAGCAAGAGCAGGGTTGTTCCATGAGGACAGTGAGCCTGGCCAAGGGTCTCCCCCAGCATGGGCAGAGCCCTCACCAACCAGTGCCACACCACAATATCTGACCACAGGTAAGCAAA